GATGGCCATGTTGGTCAAGTTAGTTGAAGGACTTCGAAACCTGTACATCCTGCCAGATGCAGTGCTGAACTGAGTGTTTACAACTCTTGTGAAATGATCCATGACTGGTGGTGGTGGTGGTGGTGGTTTGGTGTTGTAACGTCAGTACTCCGTTGGTTGTTCTTTGCCTACTCATCACTTTCTGTAAGTATGGTGCAGCGTACGTGCAAGCGAGCAGTGGTCATGGCCTCATACACACATTGTGTACATGATGATGGTGCTGCTGTTCCTGCAGATGATAATAACATGCATGGGTTATCATTTACATTTCTTCTTTAATCCAAAGTTATTGTCAACTAAATTTACCTTTGCATTTGTCTTTTACATCTGTAAATGTAATATATTATTAGCACCATGGTTAAATATTCTACTTTTCAACTTTTTGTTTTTCAGTTATAATTGATAAAAAGTGCCAAAGCCAAACTGTTTAATTTCTGAAATAAAATATTTGTATTTTCTTGCTTTTTAATTTAAAAAAATTATTAATCAACTTCAATTCTTTCATGGTTTATTTCATTTTTGGATAGTTGTAAATTCGACACACTTCTCATGACCATAAAATGATAAACATTTAATGCTTAGGTAAAAAGAAAAAAAATCAGTTTTACTTTGTGATTTATTTGCCTAATAAACAGTAACAATTTAATCAACATGAATTTTCTAAGTTCATATGCTTCATTTTTCTAAAGAAATTCTTATGTATGAAATTACCGTCTTTCTGATTTCATGTGTACCGTCTTTCTGATTTCATGTGTTTTTATTGCCCTCATTAGTGTTATTGACTTATGGTTGATCTTGAGGTTAAAGAGATTAAAAAAAGGTTTTTATTCAAATAGTTAAAGAATGCTAGGCACCTGGTTAACAAGCAAAAAAGTTTCTCCATTAACAAATTAACTGGAGATACTCTTTCTTTGTTAGATTGAAACTGTTAACAGATGAATAAGTAACACAAATTTTGCAAAAGTCATCAGTCAACAATAAAACTGATAATAGTAACCATGAACTTTTATTTGTTCTGCTTTTATAGCTATACAATTTAATTTTATTATTGTTCATTGTTTGCATACTAAATTGCATATAGGGTAATGTCTACACATTAGAGTCAGAATATTTACATTTGCTCAAATTATGAATAGCTGACCCTCAATATCTTTAACAAAATTTAAGATATCCCATTTATGAAATACTATCTATAATATTCTTATACCTGACATTTAACCTGATAAAATCCTTCAGGGGACAAAATGCATTGGTAAAAAAAAAGTTTTCTTTTTGTCTTTTATTTATATACGTTTATGCCCATCTACATACACCTATGACTAAATCTGTTTTTTGTACAATATAAATAGCAAAAATGAAATCTTAATACCTTTAAATTAAATTTTATCAAAGAGATAGGTGATAGTACTCTTGATTATTTTTGTATCAAACATATATTAATACTGTAAATTATCAATTTTTTTGTTGATTCAATTACTGTTATATTTGTATGTAAATGTTTACTAAAATTTCTGTTGAAATTGTATAAACATTATTTTGTACATAAAATAATTGTAACTCTTAATCTTTAAGGATTGTATTTATAGTGAAGCTAATTAAAAATAGGATCCATTAAATAATATAATATAAAATTAGATTGCTGCTGTTTATTGTTTGCCAGTTGGCTAACTTAACGAATGTCATCAATGTAGTACAAGGCCTGTTCTCTGTTGCCTGAGAAATGGATCACATTTGTGTATGGTTTTGCCTTTTTTTCCAATGTTATTGTGTTTGCATACTGGCTGGCTGTCTCCTACATACATATGAATGCTGTTTTTATTGTTATTTAACGCTTTTCATTTTTATCATTTTTTTCTGCATGCATTCAAAAATTATTTGTATTGTACTAACTTGCAATAAAAACAATAATTTATTTATTAAAATAGAAAACATAATTGATAGCATAATTATTTTAGTTTTATGTTTAATCTTAAATTGATGTGAAGATTTGAGCTCTTAAAAGTCAGCAGCATCTAGTCATGACTCAATTAAATGAAAAGTATTTTCATTACTTTTCTACTTTCTTTAATTATAAGTTTCCTATTTAACATAAGCCAACTTTTTATATGCCTCAGATAGTTTTCTTTAGAAACATTGACAATATTTTATAAAACTGATATAAAATTGAAATTTTCAATAGAAAACTGTTAAATAACAATTTTATCATATTCATAATATAACCTGAATTTTTTTCTACTTCTATTAATCAAATTTGTGTACATTTATTTTTTTTCCTTTCTCTTGAAAAAAAACTTGACTCTATCAAATCTTATTAGTTCAGTTTAAAAAAAAATAAAACTAATCCATTTTATATTCACTATAAAATTCCTTTCTAGTCCACTTTTACTTTGTAGTTTTGTATATGACTTTATTTCTTCTAGATATCTTACTTAAATTCCCTGCTTATTATTTGCTGACTTTTTTTGCATTTTCTGTCTGTTTTTATTGAATGCTTAAAATTTTTGCTTTCTCTAAACTCACTTATTCATGTTCATAACTAATAAATTATCATCTTTTTTAATTTATCTTAATATTTCTTATTCATTATGATCATTTTCAAAATGGTACCAAATTTCCAGTATACAATTACTAATTCATGTAGAATTTCTCAAATTAGATCTTACTTAAAACAATATAATATTGATTAAATTATTATTTTAACTTGAAAGGCGTGATGACTTGCCTACATTCTCTTTGTCTTTCTCAGATTTACTTGAAATCTGTTAAGATTTTATATTTTAGATACAAATTTTCAAAATTTAAAATTCAAAGAACATTATATTTTTATAGTCATATTTAAAAGAAAAATGCCTATGATAATTATTTTACAACATACATTTTTGTCATATTGAAAGTAATTACATGTTTTCACTCTAATGAAATTAATAAAAAATATATTCAACATAATCAATATACCTATAGACTTATAAGATTTAATAAGTCAATAGCTCAAGTTTTTATATTTTATTTGAATTTTTCAGTATTTCTGTTTTCTAAACCAGAGAAAGAAAAAGCTTAATAGTTTTTAATATATGAAAGGAAATTTGGTATCATTTTATTTCAAAACCTTGTACCGTTATATCCTTATCACAAGCGCCCATTCATAAATCACACTGTCCAATCCTGCTTGCTGGCCAAAGCACATTATTTAACACAAGTGTTAATTCTTCTATTTAGCTTTATTTGAACACATTAAATCCCATAGTTTCAGATGGCCTTCAACATAATACTTCTGGCATTTTATTTATCAATTAATGGATGATAAATTTTTATTTATCTATACTAAATATTAATTTTTTATCTTTGTTTCATTAAGTTTATTTTTAATTTATTTAATATTTTTAATTGATTTTAATAAAAAATATTTCAGTTAAAATAATATCAAACAATTTAGTTTCATCTTATACTATCATTAAGTCTTTAATTACTATAGAATTTTTATTTTCAGAATCTATTTATAACTATATTTTCAAAGTTATTGAATAAGTTGAAAAATTATATTCTTATTTACATTCCTTATTTTTGTTGTTGTTATTGCAATGTTTCAACCATTGTGCCCTCCAGCCATCATCAGGTGTATGTCAATTCAGGTAATCTACAAAGAATTCCAAACTGAGCCATTTATTTAATCTATGGGAGTAGTCTCATTCCACTGTCCATGTCTAGAGATATCTCGTCTAGTTCTTATTTTTGGTACTGCTCAGTTATTACTTGTCCTGTTTCCACTGAGTCCAAGTATGCACAGCTAGCCAGGGACTGAACTCACACTTACTATGTCAACAAGTTCATAAACCAACACTTTAATCCACTTTACTATTGTCCCATACTGAGCAGTACTAAAAATAAGAACTAGACAAGATATCCCTTGACACGGGTAGCAGAATGAGAATAGTCTACCCCAATAGATTAAATAAAGGTTTCAGTTTAGAATTCCCTGAAGGTCCTGATGAAGGCCGGAAGGTAAAACAGCCAAAATGTTGTGATGATAACAATAAAGGTGGGGACAATAATCTGCATGTAAATAGTGTAAATAATTCCTTCTCCCAGAAATTCAGACAGAAAATTATATTCTATTTGCAGAATTATAAAATATTTATTCATAGATTAAGAAATAGAATTGTCCTTTACTTTTATCAAAGGAAAGAACATGGTTCACACAAAAATAGAAAATAACAATCAATATTTTTACAATAAACCCGAAACGCATTATTTCAGATCTTAATTTAAAATTACAAATTTAATTTGTTATATGCTAAAATGATCTTATGTGAATTTTAAGAGAAATGATTCATTTAATGTGTATATTCTACTTTATGTGCAGTAAAAAAAATTAAATATTAAGAAAATTTTATATAATTTGGAGGTTGTGCCTGTTATTTTTTATTCTTCAACTAAAAACATTGATAATTTTGCATTGTAATTCTAAAATGAAATTAAAGAAATATATACTTTCTAAAATAACTCTTAATTTTCATAATTTATAAACAAATTATTCATATTCAGAAAATTATTCTATATAACTTTTGCTGTTTTAATTATAACTAAGAAAGAATCCTTAAATATATTTTTTCTTTTAATTCCTAGTTGATTTAAACTGATACAACATTAAATTTCTTAAGATACAATGCTCATGCCCATCAAGTGTTTTGTGTTCAGTCTATCAAAATTACAAGTGTTTATCTTCTATATAATTATTTGTTGTCATATTAAGGTTATCTTTTACTTACTGAACAATTAACTTTTAAATACATTTGCATAACAGAAATTCTGTTTTGTTCCATTTAAAATTTCTAGTTTTGGTTTAATGGTTAATTTCATGTTTTTTGTTTTATTTTGTTTTTTCAAGATAAATTATTTTTTTCTAGAAAAGCCAAGACATTTTTATAACTACTATGATAATGTTCTTGATTGTGTCTTTTCAGAAACAAATAAAAAAAAGAGTTCTGTTCAGCGCAGTGAAGAAGTTGGAGGCGGTTTGGAAATGAGAAATAGATTGATAAAACAAGGCAGCCGTGAATCTACAGATGGCAGCATGGGTAGCATCAGCAGTATAGAATCAACAGTGTATGTGAATAAAGTGGTTATTTTTAATGATATTTTAAATCTTATATTCCTGTTTAAATTTTTAATCATTTAACATTTAACTCATTAACTTCTATTTTATTACAGCAGAAACTGGTTTAATCAAATCTGAAATATAGTATGTCATTCAAAAAATTACAAGTTTTAAAATAGTCATAATTGTTACTGTAAAATTATTAACCTTGCAATACCTGCAGAAGTGATCACTTCCAGTTATATGCAAACCTAGAGTTAAATAGATAAAATTAAAGCAATCCCAAAATTGCAGTATGAAAATCTCCAGAGTGACTCCATTTGCAAACAATCGTACACAGTTTATATTGTTCAAACTGTTGTCTTCATCTTTATTGCCATATTCACAATGCTTCAGCTGTTGTATACTTCGACCTTCTTCAGGTGATTGGAATTTAAAACTGGACCCTTTATTTGTTCACCAGGTTAGATTGTTATAGTTCTACATGCCACGCCTCTTCTGGATGTCTCAGTTATCTCCCTCTCTCCAAGTTTTTGTCACTACTGCCACAAAACTCTCCAAAGCCAGCCAAGCATAGAAATGAATATAACATGGGAACCAGTAATACAGAGTGCTAGAGAAAAGTAATAGTAACAATAAAATTGCAATATGAGCTCTGATAAAAAAAATGACTAATGAGATATTAAGTTTATAAGTCCCAAAAATTTATATCCTGATGTACACATGACCCAGTGGATAAAAGCATTACTTGATCCAGTGACTTGACCCAAAGAATTGTGAGTTCAATACTTGGTGAGTTAAAGGGAGATAACTGAGACATGAATGTGAGTAATGAAATTTTTAAAAATAGGAACTATAAAGAATCTGCAATCAGACAACTGAAATTTCTGTGACCCTTGATAAAAAATCTTGGAGAATTTAACTTACAGGACATTGACAGCAAGCGAAGTGATGGGGGAAATATTAACCTACTTGACAAGTTTGGGTGAATATATGACTAAAACTAAAAAAGAGGATAAAGAGGGGTATTAAAGGAAAAAGTTGTAAAGAGTCAGGAATTTGTGGAGTAACACAATTGCTCCATGTCCTGAAAATATATGTTATATAAAAGAAGACTGCTGTGGTGGAATGAAAGCACAGAACTCTTCATAACAGGAAAGCTACAATATATGCATATAAAAACCCAGTATACTAAAATCTGAAGTCATTACTGCAATGGTCAGGATTAGGAGGGATAAATCAGCTGGATAAAATGAGGTTGTCATAGAGATGGTGTTAATCTTAGATAACATTGGGATTGATAAGATTATTGAAGTGATAAATGAAAATGGTAAAAAAACTAGATTAATTTTCATCATGTTGTCAAAGAAACCAGGTGCAAACAAATGCAAGCTTCACTGAACAATCAGCTTGATGATCTACATAATAAAGCTAATAGTGAGAATACTAATGAATAAAACTTAGCAGATTCAGATCAGAAATATTTAAAGAACAGTGTGTAGCTGTTCGTATTTGTGTTCCCCAAGCTATATAACAAAGCGAAAAACACATACTAATGACATGGTGTGGTTAACAAACTTGTCTCACTAGATCTATTACAATTGAATAATGAGTTCTATCCTAATTGTGTGTCCCATACTTAGAAAATCAACAATGAGTAGAACTTGGGGCTCACTATTTTTTTTTTTTTTTTTTTACAAAACACAAACAAGAATGCATTTTTCATGGTCAGGATGAGCAATATCAATGCAAAAAAACCTTTGTTTCATAGATTACACAAAGACATTTAATAAAGTACATCACAAAGAACTTGAAATACTTGAAAAGTTTGATCTGCATGTAAACAATATACAAATAATTCACAATCTGTATTGAAGATAAGCAGATAATACAAATAGACATTGAATTAAGTAAGTTCATCAAAAGAAGAAGTGCATGACATGGATGAGTTTCCTCCCCAAATTTATTTAACCTGTATAGCAAGATGAGTCTAAGAGAATTAGAAGACCTACCAGGATTTGTATTGATTATTAACAATCTATGCTACACAGATAAGACTGTTGGTGGCAGATTCAGAAGGAAAACTGAAAAAAAGAGCTCTCAGACAATGTAGTTGAGGGAAGCAAGAAGAAAAGACTAACTATTAATTATAAGAAGATTGAATGCATGGGTGTGAGTAACAGTAACAACCCAAGTTGTGAGTTATGCACCTGGGACATTAAAATCAAATGTGCAGATAATCAGCTCTCTGGATAGCATAATAACAGACACTAAAGACTCAAAAGGTAGATAGGAATAGTGAAAGATACTTTTCAGAAACTGAGATACTAAAGGATCAAAAGATTTTAATGTTGTTTTTTGATTCTGAGAGTTCTGAACTTCTATGTAATGTCTACATGCTGTATAGCTGGGAGAGTTCATCATAAATTAAGAAAGGTTTGAGATGTGTTTTTACTGATGAATATTGGGAATACCATGGACAGAACATGTGAAAAATTAAGAAGTTCAATATAGGTAGTACAAAGAAAATATTTGTAACAATCAAAAAGAAACAGCTGCCATTTTGGGGACACATTATGAGGAAAGAAAGTTTGTAAAATTTGACACTGATAGAGCACATCAAAGTCAAGCAGAAAAAAGCAATGAGTAAATTATTTGACTAGTTTGAGCAAATGGTTAGGGGTGAAGAAAGGTTCATAAAGAAGAAAGAATTATTGAAAGTAACAAGACAAAACACCTTGGCAGACCATGATTGCACATTTTCCTGAAAGGATATGGCACATATATCAAGAGAATTTATGAAGAGGGCAGTCAGAATAGAAATATTTCTTGTAGAGATTGTTTTTTTTTTTAATATGTAATGGGAATCTAAAATTGAATGGGAACTATGAAAAATGTCTAATTATATTAATCATGTAAATAATTGTTAAGATATTGAAGTATCTTGCAACTATTTCAGTATATCAAGTGAAACATTTTTTTTATATGTTGGGATATGCTGTATAAATTTAAAATAAATTTGTGACATAATATTTAACATAGAACTGCCATTATTGTTGTGAATGAAATGAAAATTGTTATATCCTAGTTAATCAAATTGGTTTCATATTTCTCATTCTTTTCTCTTTTTTAGAATGTGGCTACCTCCGAGTCACTACGGCGATTTTGTTGAAGGTCTTGGGCCTTCACAACTGGTGGGAAGACAGGTGCTTGGAGCTCCATGTCTTGGAGAAATACAACTTGGACTCTATGACCGAAAAGGTCACTTAGAAGTTGAAGTGATTAGAGCACGTGGTCTTATGGCCAAACCTGGTGCCAAAGTCTTACCTGGTAATTTTGATGTGTTTATTGTTTATAAATAGAAACAAATATGTTTTAAAGCATATAAATAAAAATAATTTTTTAAAATATACTTTTCTAATGAATTATCAGCATATAAATATAGGGGGAAAAAATTTTTTTTTTTTTTTTCTAAGAAAAATCATAATCCATTACATTCACTTACATGCTAATACCCTTGGGAAAGGTATGAATCCTCTTCATCTCCCTTTCCAGCTATAGATAAATAGCAGGACAGACCTGGTTCTATATCCTTGGATGGCAACTGGTCCACCACAGAAAGAAATGGCAACCTACTGTGTGAAAAAAATCTGCTTCGTCAGTTATTCATCGAAAGATGCATGATTGCCTAAGCATGTATCATGCATGGCACATAACTGACTGAACTGACATCATTTTTCATGTGATAGGACAGAATGAGTTGTTCCTTTTTCTAGAAATCATATTTCACCTTCATTTTTATTAACTTTATTTAGAATTTTAATGTAATCCATTACAAAGTTGTGAAATTATATGAAAGTGTTTATTGTACATTGTAAGCATGTATTTCAACAAACATTTATCAACTTATAATATTTCCAATTATTTCTTTTAGTTTAAGCTCCTTATTAACTACTAAATTATCTACTTCTTAGAGTCATTTCTTCTAGGCAGATTAAATGCTTAACCTTAACACACTGCATAATCAATATTACTTCCCTTCCCACTGCATTCTTTTTCAATACCTCTCAATTTCAGTAACCTTATTGTTAATTTCACTCAATGTTGTTTTCATTTTCTGTTGCCATAGCAGGATATGAGAACACAACTATGAAATTCAAACACACTATTGTTCAGAGATCAATCACCTTCAGTATCAGGATGAACTTATACAGCAAATAAAGTCATATACAGAGGGATAATGGTTAAAAAAAACTCTACAGACAAATTAAAACACTAAAATAATTGAAACTATAAAAATATATTTAATTTTATATAACAATATGCCAATAATATATTTATGAATGTTTTAACATAAATTTATGAATGAGTTTTGTATATTTGAATAATAAAAATAAGATTAAAAGAACTGTCATAGTTAAAATTTATATATTTTATTAAATTTTAATAGAACTTATTATTCTTCTTCCAAAATTCCACAACAAGGCCAGCATTGATTTTTCTAACATATATTAATTTTATTTCAGCTCCATATGTGAAAGTCTATTTAATTCAGGCAAAACACACAATTGAGAAGCAGAAGACCACTATTGCAAGGAGGACACTTGATCCTCTCTACCAACAGCAATTAGTTTTCAATGAACCCTACCAAGGAAGAGTATTGCAGGTGAAGAATTGTTTTTATCATGCTGTACTCATTTTATCTGAAATATTCCTATAGCCCCTGAGACTTTACTTTCACTATGAAATTTTTACTGGATTTATGATTTTCTATGAATGTAGCTCTCTGTGATACCTGTGATTATAGCACATTTAAAACTGATTCATTTACTATTTATACATTGAAAATTTCAGATGCATTTTGATTGATTTTTGATATTGAGAACAGTTTCTAAATACTACAAGTAATCTCATGCATTCATTTGCATTATCTCCAAAATCTATCATCCTTGCATTTCTAGTAAAACTACTTTATAAATGTTACAAATATACTCTTAACCAACTTCTAATGCTTAAAATTAATCCTGTACAACTATCGAACTGTTACTTTTCTGATTTAGATATATAATTTTATTAATGAAAACAATTTCATTTTTCAATGATTACTTTTCAATTTTTATTGTTTTAGGTAACTGTGTGGGGAGACTACAGTCGAACAGACAGAAAAGTGTTCATGGGAGTTGCACAAATTGTATTGGATGAACTAGACTTATCAAACATTGTGATTGGTTGGTACAAATTATTCCCAACATCATCATTAGTTGGACATCATTCTGGACCATCTTCTGCATCATCGCCTCATACACGGAAAAGTTCAGCATCTTCATTAGAAGCTCTTAGTACTGCCACATCTTGGAATCAGTAAATTCTAACTCAGAACATTGTATACAGAAATGTATACAGTGTATATGTGTATATTATTTATTTATATATTTAGCAACTTGACTGATTTCTTACTAGAATTTCATTTTTCTGACTATTTTGAGCCATTAAACTTCAATTATGTAAAAGATATGATATGACTGCCACCAGATCGATGATTAATTAAGGTAAATGCTCCTTGTCACAGAGTATGTGCTGTTTGTCCTGGACCTGTGTTGCATGTCATAGAAAAAACATGTGCTATCCCCATTTGAAATACTTTGCAGTAAAAATTTAAGAAGTTCAGTGATATTTTCATTAATCTAAAAAAATAATTTTCCTTTTTTACATGTGCATCAGCTTGTCTAAAATTTAAGACTGTAAACTCATCTCAGTGCTAGGATATCTAAAAATTGTGATCAAACTAAAATAACTGCTTCGATTCATGGGGTTATAAATTATCATAGTTGCACAGTGATCCCTCCTCTATATAAAAAAAATTTTAAAAATGCTGTATTCATGTGACAACTAAGTAGGAATTAAACTGATATGAATTGCTACATCCTTAATAAGAAAGTTACAAAATAACCTCATCAAAATATCTAGAGTTGAGGTTTATTAGTTTTCAACTAAGATGGCATTGAACTTTTTCAATAAGAAAAATCATGAATGAATTTATAAAAAGGTAGTTTTAATAATATCAATAAAATGAGAAGAATTGAAAAAGTATATTTTGCCCTAAATTTCAATGTATATTGTGGCTAATATTTCAGTATAAATTTTTCTTGTATAAGATTAGATTAAGAAGTTTGAAAATGTGATGTGCACAATGAAATTTATTAAATTTAGCATTAATTTGGCATATTTATTTTTGTTATCAGTACTAAAGTATAGTGTTTTAATTAAAGAAATATAAAGATTATCTGGAAGTAAACTATAGTAGACATTAAATCTATGAAATTCATTGTATAAAAATTATAAAATAAGAGGGAGTTATATAATTTCCAGTCAGATTACCTGTAATTTCTTTATATTTCACTTACAATATAAGCTATATTTTTAATTTCCCAATGGACAAGAAAATAAAACATTTTCCAGATGTTTTTTAGTTAAACTTAACATTAATAATTTAATTAATTTTTACCTTTTATTCTGAGCTCTTCTCTAGATTATGTTACCTTTTCTCTCTTTTCCAATAAAAGGCAATTAAAAAAATCAAACATTCCATAAGAGTTTACCTATTTGTGTGCATTTATGTACATATTGTTTTCTGCTATTATTATATATTTAAAAATATTTGTTGTTAAATTCCATATTAATTTTAATTGTTGAATTTGACGGGGATGAAATATTATTATTATTATTATTATTATTATTATTATTATTATTACTACTACTCTTCTATTGTAAACTTGTATGCCATTTGTGCCTGACACCTGACAAGCACTGCTTGTGTACCTGACTATTGATTCTCTATTGAATAAGAAATGTTAAATTAGATATGTTATTTTTTTCTGTTTTCATTTAAGATATGGTTCAGTTTCAATTGATATCCAACTCTTCTAAAATTAAAGAATATTATAAATATAATTTTTTTTGCTTTAAAGAAGCTTAAAAATGACAGGATATTGATTGATTCAAGACATGTGAAAAATATCACTGATCCTTGTCAGCTTTTTATTTGTACTTTTACAAAAATCAAATCTAATTTTCTAATTAGCTTTAAGTGAATATCTCTTTATCATACAGTCAAAAATAAAGACTTTTATTATAATTCTTTATAGCAATTGATGTATGAACATATGTATTAACATTGATACATTTAAATGTAATGTTTACATTTTTATAAAAGTAAGTTCATTAAATATTAAATGTGTTAGATATATTGGATTTCATTTATTTTCATTTTTTCAAAAGTATATGATTACCATTTTGCAAATGCAGTTATGATAATGTATTATTTATCATTAGTAATGTTAGGATTAGTTCATACTTATTTTAACTCAACCATTAGAACTAGAAAAATATTATCATGTACCATCATAATTTTTTAAAGTTTGTATTTAAATGGCATCTGGATATTATCAGAAATGATTTAAATACGTACATAAACATTTATATTTATACAATAAGGACAACAAATTTTATTCATTAATAAATTTACTCATTGCTTTTGCTTTATTTTGAAATTAAATATGCCAATTGTAAGTCTTAAAAGGAATTTCTAAGCCATAAGTCGTAGAATAAATTTTACAGTTTATCTAAGTTCACTGTGCCTTTTTTCATACAAATTATATAAATAGAAAGTTGAAGAAATAAAATAATTATTTCTGAAGGTTTTCAGCTCATAATATTTAGTGTCATTGTAGTAATGTATGCAATATATTAAAAAATGTTGAAATTTGAATAAATGCCTGAACCATTTACTAGGTGGATTTTCCTATGAAAACTTCAATGAGACAAAGCAGTTTGTTTCATTAGTACTGAAAATCTGCACCTGTGTGACATGTTTTCTCTAAACTATACAACTGAATTTACTGATAAGCAATATATATATATATATATATATATGTTGCATGTGTGTGTGTAAGTTTGTTTTTCGTATATTTATTTTATCTTTATTGTGTATTGTAATATTATATAATGATGGTTGCAACAATTTCATTATGTGAAGAAGGATATTTTTGGACTAATATTTTCATCTGTTAAAGCCCTAATTAGATCAGTTCAAATTCCTAGAACATAATACATCAGTTCAGTCTGATTTATACTTAAAATATTTTTCTCTTAGAATTTTCCTTTAAATATTTTTTATTTCAATTTATTTGTATAAAAGTATAAAATATCTGCATTTTAAAAATTCCTTTTACCAGATTAATATCCAATTATGCTTCCACAGTTATCTATTTAAGTCTACTTTATGTCTATTTTAATTATTGTCAATAGATTCATGAAATCTATTCAAATAACAGTTTTCATTGTAATTCAAGAGAAACCTATCACAGCTTCCTTTATTTTTGGCAAGATTGAGTAAGTATCTAAAAACCCTTTGAATGCTACATTGTTTCTTTAGAAACTTAAAGAAGCTTAAATCCTTCAAATGATCAAGTAGCAAAATAGAATTAAAATTTCTTATGATACACATTCGTTTTGCCAGCTATTAATAACAATGGCTATTATTTGCATTAGCAAATATATTTTCTATTTGGCTTTTTTCTTTTTGATTTCATTTCACAATCAAATTTATAAAAAATAATTTTATTACATTATTTCAGTTTTAACTTGGAGCAATTTTAAAGCACCTTGTTTTGTTGATATATATTTAAAAATGAGTTTATCACATCTAAGTATAATGAAATGTGGATATTTTTATTTGAAATGGATTATATATGGAGTAGTGGCACAGCATATCTATCTTATGTTTCTTCTACTAAATTTCTCTCTTAGGATTGATAGTAAAAGAAACAAACACTATTGAAAAATCATCATTGATTATTCAGTTTAATCTTTAATGAGATATACTGCTGAACTTACATTATCTCATTACTCCAATATATTTTGTAGATTTTGCATATTATGTTTCTGCTATTTTCTAATTAATTTGCTACATTAACATTACGGGTAATTATTCTTATGTCACAAATTGTTTTCTCTCCAGAAATCCTTTATTGAGAACATTTTACAAGAATATACCAATGGTCATATGACCAAAATATACCTGTCTACTTACATTTAATTACCTTCACTTGATCAAGCTAAAAATGGCAAATTTTGATGGAATTTTATTTGGAGCTTTCATTCTTACATGGCATTTATAACTCATTTAGGAAAGATAGTTGCTTTACAGAATAAATACAGTTGGTATGAGCATTAAAATTAACAGCTAGTATGACAGATAAAAGATTATATAGATTAATTTTAATATTTTTTAAAATTATTAATTACTTTCACAACACATTTCAAAATATTTGATGAATTTGCTGTAAACTCAGAAAATAACTTGCACTATTTATCTGTAAAGAATAAGATTGTATTTTAGTTATATAAATGTAAAAATAAGTGTATATTTTGTTTTAAAAATTCTTTTAAAAATTTCATATATGCTTTTAAGAGGATTTTACTGAAATTTTTATTTTACATTTTTTTAAAATTGATTTGATATTATTTTTTTCCTTTGCCTTTGTAATGAAAATTTTTTTAATTTGGTTTCATCTTTCTTGTATACTCTAATTTTTTAACTCACTTTTTCTTAGCATATATCAACCCATTTCTTTCATATTGTTTGAGATTAATCCTGATTTCTTTTGGCATAAAGTCTGCTACTGGCTGTGTTTTAGTGTTATTTTCACTGGTGTTACTTCTATCTCCCTATGCAGACAAAGAAAACAAACAGTAAAATTTCACTCAATCTGGAAAAATTATTTGCATAATCTCCATTTAAAAATTAATTAAAATATCTTCTCAACAATCTTGACTATTTCAAGTTTAATTTTATAGTTAATATTTCAAGTTTGGTTGATTTTTACTTATTTTTTCATTTCAAACAGGTTTTCTTTTTATGAAGTATAGGTTAGAAGTATAGGTTAGTATGTGGATAATATATGAAAATTTTACTTGAATTTTAAACTTCTTTTTCAATATTATTTAAATAAAATTGAATGCAAATGTTTTCAACTAGTAAAAAAGACTAGCAGCTACTTTTAAATTTTAGAATAAGGAATCTTTAAATCAGTTTTCAATTCGATGAAGTCAATCTGATTTAATTTGAAAAACATTAGTAATAAGCATACATAAATTGTAATTAGTAAAATACCTTATTAGAATAATCATGATGACAGTTATGTCTGAGCCTCTCCTTTATATATATATATATATATATATATGTGTGTGTGTGTGAAAAGTATGTGTATATAAAATATATATATATATATATATATATATATATATATATATATATATATATATAATTATTTATATATTATATGCACGGTACTTATTAGAAAG